CTCAGATATACACCTCTCAGGTATACACCTCTCAGATATACACCTCTCAGATATACACCTCTCAGGTATACACCTCTCAGGTATACACTTCTCAGGTATACACCTCTCAGATATACACCTCTCAGATATACACCTCTCAGGTATACACCTCTCAGGTATACACTTCTCAGATATACACCTCTCAGATATACACCTCTCAGGTATACACTTCTCAGGTATACACCTCTCAGATATACACCTCTCAGGTATACACCTCTCAGGTATACACTTCTCAGGTATACACCTCTCAGATATACACCTCTCAGATATACACCTCTCAGGTATACACTTCTCCGTGTATAATGGGACAATCGGGATAAACACAATTAGCCCCAAAACTATAACAGTGATCTTAAATACACAGAACATTTCCAGTACCTGTTATAATTATGATGTGATGCAATGTTTGTTGAAAGTGATCTTAGTAATGTTTATATAAGAGTAATCTTAGTAATGTTTATGTAAGTGATCTTAGTAATGTTTATGTAAGTGATCTTAGTAATGTTAAGTAAGAGTAATCTTAGTAATGTTTATGTAAGTGATCTTAGTAATGTTTATGTAAGTGATCTTAGTAATGTTTATGTAAGAGTAATCTTAGTAATGTTTATGTAAGTGATCTTAGTAATGTTTATGTAAGAGTGATCTTAGTAATGTTTATGTAAGAGTAATCTTAGTAATGTTTATGTAAGTGATCTTAGTAATGTTTATGTAAGAGTGATCTTAGTAATGTTTATCAAAAGAGGTGAGGGTCATCTTATGAATCAGTATATTGACATTAAGAGGGACATTAAAAAGGGGATAAGAAAAGCTAAAAGGGACTATGAAATTAAAGTTGCTAGGGATTCTAAAACTAACCCAAAAAGTTTTTTCCAGGTATATAGAACAAAAGTTAGAGATAAGATAGGTCCCCTTAAAAATAACTATGGGCATCTTACTGACAAAGAGAATGAAATGTGCTCGATTTTAAATAATTATTTTCTCTCGGTTTTTACACAGGAAGACACTAGTAATATTCCGGTAATTAATTTTTATAGTGGGCCAGAAGAAGATAAATTATGTAACATCACAGTCACTAGTGAAATGGTTGAGAAGCAGATAGACAGACTGAAGCATAAGTCGCCCGGTCCTGATGAGGTTTTTTCAAGGGTTCTAAAGGAATGCAAAATGGAAGTCTGTGAACCATTAACTAATATTTTTAATTTATCTCTTCAAACAGGTGTAGTGTCTGATATGTGGAAGATGGCTAATGTAATTCCTATTTTTAAAACAGGGGACAAGTCGTTACCGTCAAATTACCGCCCAATAAGCCTGACGTCAATTGTAGGCAAATTACTAGAGTCAATTATAGCTCAAATTATAAGAAGCCATCTCGATAAGCATAGCTTGATTAATGATACTCAGCATGGATTCACAAGAGGCCGGTCTTGTCTAACTAATTTATTAACTTTCTTCAGTAAAGCTTTTGAGACTGTTGACCACGATAAAGAATTTGATATGATTTACTTAGATTTTAGTAAGGCATTTGATAGAGTTCCGCACCAAAGACTGTTGAAGAAAGTAGCAGCTCATGGCATTGGGGGAAGGGTGCTCTCGTGGATCGAATCATGGCTCACAGACAGGAAGCAGAGAGTGTCCATAAATGGGGTTAAATCCGAGTGGGGATCAGTAACAAGTGGCGTTCCACAGGGATCAGTCTTGGGCCCGTTGTTGTTTATAATATATATCAATGATCTTGATGAAGGAATTACTAGTGATATGAGCAAATTCGCCGATGACACGAAGATAGGTACGATAATTGATTCAAACGTAGATGTTAGGGAACTTCAGGAGAATTTAGACAAACTCTACTCTTGGTCAGAAAAGTGGCAGATGCAGTTCAATGTAGATAAATGCAAGGTTCTGAAGCTCGGGAGTGTCCATAACCCTACACTTATAAGTTAAATAATATAGAACTTAGCCATACAGATTGCGAAAAGGACTTGGGGGTTATGGTAAGCAGCAACCTTAAACCAAGACAGCAATGCCTAAGCATACGTAATAAGGCAAATAGATTACTGGGATTTATATCAAGAAGTGTAAGCAACAGAAGTCCAGACGTCATACTGCAGCTTTATACATCATTAGTAAGGCCTCATCTAGATTATGCAGCTCAATTCTGGTCTCCATATTACAGAATGGACATAAATTCGTTAGAAAACATTCAGCGTAGGATGACTAAATTAATACATAGCATTAGAAGTCTTCCTTATGAAGAAAGATTGAAGACTCTTAAGTTACATTCACTTGTTAGACGAAGAATGAGGGGAGACCTGATCGAAGTGTATAAGTGGAAGATAGGTATTAATAAAGGGGATATTAACAAGGTCTTGAGGATATCTCTCCAAGAGAGAACCCGCAGTAATGGATTTAAATTAGATAAGTTTAGATTTAGAAAGGACATAGGAAAGTATTGGTTTGGAAATAGGGTAGTTGATGAGTGGAACAGTCTACCTAGTTGGGTTATTGAGGCTAGGACTTTGGGTAGTTTCAAATTTAGGTTAGATAAGTACATGAGTGGGAGGGGTTGGATTTGAGTGGGACTTGCACATCGGAGCTTGTTTCTTGGGTGGCATTGAAAATTGGGTTGGTCAAATGTTTGTTAGTGGGATGAATTGTAAAGGACCTGCCTAGTATGGGCCAACAGGCCTGCTGCAGTGTTCCTCCTTTCTTATGTTCTTATGTAAGAGTGATCTTATTAATATTTATGTAAGAGTGATCTTAGTAATGTTTATGTAAGAGTAATCTTAGTAATGTTTGTGATCTTAGTAATGTTTATGTAAAAGTGATCTTAGCAATGTTTATGTAAGAGTGATCTTAGCAATGTTTATGTAAGAGTGATCTTAGTAATATTTATGTAAGTGATCTTGGTAATGTTTATGTAAGAGTGATCTTAGTAATATTTATGTAAGAGTGATCTTAGTAATGTTTATGTAAGGGTGATCTTAGTAATATTTATGTAAGTGATCTTAGTAATGTTTATGTAAAAGTGATCTTAGTAATATTTATGTAAGAGTGATCTTGGTAATATTTATGTAAGTGATCTTAGTAATGTTTATGTCAGAGTGATCTTAGTAACGTTTATGAAAGAGTGATCTTAGTAATGTTTATGTAAGTGATCTTAGTAATGTTTATGTAAGTGATCTTAGTAATGTTTATGTAAGAGTGATCTTAGTAATGTTTATGTAAGTGATCTTAGTAATGTTTATGTAAGAGTGATCTTAGTAATGTTTATGTAAGTGATCTTAGTAATGTTTATGTAAGTGATCTTAGTAATGTTTATGTAAGAGTGATCTTAGTAATGTTTATGTAAGAGTGATCTTAGTAATGTTTATGTAAGTGATCTTAGTATTGTTTATGTAAGAGTGATCTTAGTAATGTTTATGTAAGTGATCTTAGTAATGTTTATGTAAGTGATCTTAGTAATGTTTATGTAAGTGATCTTAGTAATGTTTATGTGAGAGTGATCTTAGTAGTGTTTATGTGAGAGTGATCTTAGTAATGTTTATGCAAGAGTGATCTTAGTAATGTTTATGTGAGAGTGATCTTAGTAATGTTTATGTAAGTGATCTTAGTAATGTTTATGTGAGAGTGATCTTAGTAATGTTTATGTAAGTGATCTTAGTAATGTTTATGTGAGAGTGATCTTAGTAGTGTTTATGTGAGAGTGATCTTAGTAATATTTATGCAAGAGTGATCTTAGTAATGTTTATGTGAGAGTGATCTTAGTAATGTTTATGTGAGAGTGATCTTAGTAATGTTTATGTGAGAGTGATCTTAGTAATGTTTATGTGAGAGTAAGTAGGTACCTGGGTGTTAGTTACCTTACACCTGTTGTCCCTGTTAACCTAGCATTAAGTAGGTACCTGGGTGTCAGTTACCTTACACCTGTTGTCCCTGTTAACCTATCATTAAGTAGGTGCCTCGGTGTTAGTTACCTTACACCTACTGTCCCTGTTAACCTAGCATTAAGTAGGTACCTGGGTGTTAGTTACCTTACACCTGCTGTCCCTGTTAACCTAGCATTAAGTAGGTACCTGGGTGTTAGTTACCTTATACACCTGCTGTCCCTGTTAACCTAGCATTAAGTAGGTACCTGGGTGTTAGTTACCTTACACCTGCTGTCACTGTTAACCTAGCAGTAAGTAGGTACCTGGGTGTTAGTTACCTTACACCTACTGTCACTGTTAAAATAGCTTTAAGTAGGTACCTGGGTGTTAGTTACCTTACACCTGTTGTCCCTGTTAAGCTAGCATTAAGTAGGTACCTCGGTATTAGTTACCTTACACCTGCTGCCCCTGTTAACCTAGCATTAATTAGGTACCTGGGTGTTAGTTGCCTTACACCTGCTGTCACTGTTAACCTAGCATTAAGTAGGTACCTGGGAGTTAGTTACCTTACACCTGCTGTCACTGTTAACCTAGCATTAAGTAGGTACCTGGGTGTTAGTTACCTTACACCTGCTGTCACTGTTAAAACAGCATAAAGTAGGTACCTGGATGTTAGTTACCTTACACCTGCTGTCACTGTTAACCTAGCAGTAAGTATGTACCTGGGTGTTAATCACCTTACACCTCCTATCCCTCTTCACCTAGCAATAAAATAGGTGTTAGTGTTAGTGGATTAGTGTGGGTAGCATCCTGGAGGACAAGACTGAGGGACCACAGCGGAAATAAGACAGACAGTCCTCAATGACGTAGACTTTCTTGGGTTATCCTGGGTAGCTAACCCTCCGGTGTTAGAAATACAAACAAAATCTTATCTTAACCCTCTGAAGGTCTGTAGTATAAGATGATTTTTTCCGTGAAAATTGCTCCCTGAGATTACATTATGGATGGGAAGGACAGAGAGTGCACATCACACCTGGTACTTCAACTCCTAAGCTGACGTTATCTATAGAATATTGAGAAACAGTTTTTTCACAGGCGTATTGTTCCTTGAGATCTCACCATGGATAGAGGCAGTGAGTGCACATCACACCAGTGCAGAGCAAGGTTCAAATCCCCGGGAGTCCAGGAAAGAGAGTACACACCACGCACCTGGATGTTTCTGGTAGTCTGGACCACTGGGGTCCTGGTCTACTCTAATGGTCTGACTGGAGACTTCGTTCACGACGACATCAGTGCCATCACCACCAACCCTGATGTCCTGGGGACCAGTACAGTCTCTCAGGTCTTCTTTAATGACTTCTGGGGTAGGTCCCTCTGGGACTCACTCTCCCACAAGTCTTACAGACCCCTCACCACTCTCACTTTCAGGTAACTCTTAATGTATTCTTGTAGGATTATATTACCACCGAGGGCTAAATCAGTAAGGGTCATTATTATTATTATTTTATATAATTATTATTATTGTTAATGATGATAACAAAAAGACAAATAATAAAAATAATAAAATAATAATAGTATTATATTATTATAATTATATTATTGTTATATTATTATTATTGATGCCCTTAATAATATTAAAATAATACTATTATTTTATTATTACTATAATTAACATCAACAACAGCAATAATAATAAGAAAAATAATAATAATTATATTATTATTATTACCAGCATTATTAACAGTTATTATTATTATTCTCACTAAAATCATTTCCGTCAAACACAAAAATATATATTAGTACGACTAATTAATAATATTCATTTAGCGAGCAGCAAAATATACGTCCCGAAAATATTTTGGATGTTCCCAGAATTAAGAACATTTCTAATATGTTACTTGGAAGACGAGACGAAGAGAATAACGAGGAGCCGAGTGCTGCATCTCTGGAGGAACCAACTGGCTTGCTGGGTGCCACAGTCTTGCTGGGTGCCACAGTCTTGCTGGGTGCCACAGTCTTGTATGTTCTGGCTTGCTGGGTGCCACAGTCTTGTGTAGTCTGGCTTGCTGGGTGCCACAGTCTTGCTGGGTGCCACAGTCTTGTGTAGTCTGGCTTGCTGGGTGCCACAGTCTTGTATGTTCTGGCTTGCTGGGTGCCACAGTCTTGCTGGGTGCCACAGTCTTGCTGGGTGCCACAGTCTTGTGTAGTCTGGCTTGCTGGGTGCCACAGTCTTGTGTAGTCTGGCTTGCTGGGTGCCACAGTCTTGTATGTTCTGGCTTGCTGGGTGCCACAGTCTTGTGTAGTCTGGCTTGCTGGGTGCCACAGTCTTGTATGTTCTGGCTTGCTGGGTGCCACAGTCTTGTGTAGTCTGGCTTGCTGGGTGCCACAGTCTTGTATGTTCTGGCTTGCTGGGTGCCACAGTCTTGTATGTTCTGGCTTGCTGGGTGCCACAGTCTTGCTGGGTGCCACAGTCTTGTATAGTCTGGCTTGCTGGGTGCCACAGTCTTGTATGTTCTGGCTTGCTGGGTGCCACAGTCTTGTGTAGTCTGGCTTGCTGGGTGCCACAGTCTTGTATGTTCTGGCTTGCTGGGTGCCACAGTCTTGTGTAGTCTGGCTTGCTGGGTGCCACAGTCTTGTATGTTCTGGCTTGCTGGGTGCCACAGTCTTGTATGTTCTGGCTTGCTGGGTGCCACATCTTGTGTAGCCCTGGCTTGCTGGGTGCCACAGTCTTTTTATGTTCTGGCTTGCTGGGTGCCACAGTCTTGTGTAGTTGGTTTGCTGGGTCCCAAAAGTCTTGTGTATTGGCTTGCTGGGTGCCACAGTCTTGTATGTTCTGGCTTGCTGGGTGCCACAGTCTTGTATGTTCTGGCTTGCTGGGTGCCACAGTCTTGTGTAGTCTGGCTTGCTGGGTGCCACAGTCTTGTATGTTCTGGCTTGCTGGGTGCCACAGTCTTGTGTAGTCTGG